GGATATCTCTGCATACAGGTGTTTGCATACGATACCTTTAACACCAATCGATAGCCCTTGAGGAGTAGATATCGATAAATGTTGAGATCATCAAAATCGGACACTGGATGACCGAGATATGGACCTTCCAAAATCAATGCATTTTCTGGATTTTAGTTTGGGAGCTGAAGCAACCGCAGCAGTTTTTGGCTCGCGCAGGCCAAATTGTATAGGATTTCGAGAAAAGTTCTAAGAAGTGGACCAAAATTCTAGGGTCCATATCTCGGTCATCCAGTGTCCGATTTTGATGATCTCAACATTTATCGATATCTACTCCTCAAGGGCTATCGATTGGTGTTAAAGGTATCGTATGCAAACACCTGTATGCAGAGATATCCCGCTTAGAAGCTTTCACCTAATTTTCCGTGAAACTTCTGACGCCTGTATTTTCGCGTACATTAGTTTTGGGTGTTTTGAGGGTCGTCTCGTGATAGAACATCCGAAGATCTACCAAACCATATATCATACTTTCAAATCGGACGTTTCTGCGGGTTTTTACAGCGGTTTAAAGATTTTGTGCCATTACTTTCTTTCCAACCTGATAGTATTAATTGGCTTACAAACTATATTTTAAATCTTACTACAGTCGGCCTACCTTTTATTAGAAGGAAACATAACCACCGGATTTCCCCCTGGAGATCGGACTTTCCAAAAATCGCCGATATCTTAAAAAATTGCTATTTAATTTTTAAACCAATAGTTAATACTTTCTAACTGCCTTTCCCTGCCCAATAATCTGCGAGTATCATCTGTAATAAATACTCCCTCGGAGGGAGCATTATTTTGTAGCAGTACAGCGTTGTCCATCGGAATTCCCAAGATATCGTAATGCCATTTCGTGCGTCCAGCCTGAAAATTAGTAATTTCTTAGCCAGTTTGGAATTTAAAAAGATAATAACAGTCTAAGCTGTTTGAAAACGCACAATTCCTGCCGTAATCGGTCCCGAATCGAGGCCAAGTTCGATTGTTACTGATGACGTTGTAGCGTCGCGGAATGAGCTGAAAATTTATTCGAATACGATGTGAAATAGGGCAATTTTTATTTTGTCGAAAATTTCTTTTGTCGGTATCATTTTTGTCAAAATCTAGAATTTTAACTGTTTGTCGAAATTTTATTTTTGCGAAAAATGACTTTTTCCGTAATTTCCTGATGTCGAAAATCGAGACTACCGACGTTCTAAAATAAATAATTCAGAATACCGACAGTTCGTAATGCCGACATTTCCATCGGCATTTTTCAGGAAATTTTTTACAAAAAATTTTGAATTTTATTTCGACGTTTCGGCATTTTCGATGACGCTATGAAATGCCTCCTACCTGACAAGCGCCTCCAAATCACACGCAAATGCCACAACTCTATTCGCATGATCTGGATCGAAGAGGGACAGAAGGGACTACGTAATCCCATCTGATGGCATACGAATACATCTCTTGACGCGCACATTTTCTCTATTCTAACAAAATCAATATTTTAAGGTTAATTTCACAAAAACCTTTGATCAAATTCTTTGATGACACGCGCTGCATCATTTGCAGAACATTGTGCGAGTACAGCTTCTAGCCCTTGTAAACGACCATAACAGACCGTCGCCTGGAAGGGAGGTCACGGAATTTTAGTTACATAGATTTTCTACCTGACTGTAATGTTCAGCGAATATCTGAGGGGTATATTGAGCAATCTGGTGCCTGGTGGTCGAAACAAGATGAAGCGGAAGGAAGCTCGACAAAAGCCGATTCTAGAAAAAAATTCAGTTACCCTGGTTTATAAGGTCCACCCTACCAATTTTTGGCTGTGCTCCTCGACCGAGTTTTCCGCTTCAGCAGCATTTCTACCGGACGAAAGGTATCTAAAATCGATTAGATTACGGTACGTAAATTGGTAAATTACTTCTAGCAATTCTATCCTTTCCAATATGGATGTAGATACCGATGAATGGCACCAAACGTGGGTTAGGATGATGGCCAGTAACTGAAAAATTATACTTTAATTTTTAATCTTAATATTTGAATTTGTAGCTTGTATTCCAGTTTAAAACATAGAAAGAAAATCGGAGCATGAAACCATAAAAAAACCTTCGAAAGACTTTTACGCGCATTTTGGTCAGCAACCCGATATTTTTGCATCTTTAGCCAGAGTTGTAAAGTATTAACGCTTAAAGAATGTTGTAAAAGCACTTTAGAAACATTGCCGCTATTTTATTACAAAAATTTTCGTCGTGTTCCCCCTCCCAGTTCGGAGTTTATTGAGTTGAGCCAAAAGCGTCAATAAACTGCTGGCCCCCCGGAGGGTCGACGGTTATGTTATTGGGGTGGACCAGGTTGCGTGCGTTTCGGGGGCGCGGAGCAAGCAGTTCAGTTTTCCCGCTTTTTTGCCCATAAATAGCGTTATATCAAGGTACAAAACACTCCATTTGATGCGGGTATTTCGCGCATCTTTGAGGTTATTTTCGGCAATCTGACAAAAACCTTTCAGGTCTAAATCCTTGAAAAACTGAATAATGAAAGGGTTTTAGACATTTTCCATGCGTTTTACGATGTTCAAAACAAAAAATGACAAGATTGAGGAGCGCTTTAAAGGTAGAGACAACTTTCAAACCATACTTTAATTTCTATCCAGTTTAGAAGAAAATTTAAGCCCGGAGTCGAAGTTTTGGTCTCAAAGCTACAAAGTCGAGGTCATTGGATCAAAACAGGTATCTAGGTGTTATTGTGGTCTAGTATCAAGCCTTTCTCTCCAGCTTAAAGGTACCATCGAGCCGTTCCCAGATTTTACCTTATTTTCTTCCCAATTTCCATTTTCCTTCTGTTTTCAGGGGTATTTGGGTAGTGGGGGGCTGGCGGTCGTGTCGGTGAATTGAATGGTGCCCTCAGGGGTCTCTATGGGGGGGGAGAGAGAGAGAGGGAGAGAGAGAGAGAAGGAGCATTTATTTGTTGTCGCGTCACGCCTTTTGACACATAACGAGACACTCCTTTCCATCTGCATCCCCACACCTTTCATGCTCTCCTTCTCCTCTCCACTTCTTTTTTAACGTTTATTTAAGACAATGCTCGGCCCGAGGGCCGGATCAAAGTGGATCACAATTTCGAGAAGAATGCATAGAATGACGCGCAGGTCATTTAGAATTAGGGGTTACAGCACTTTAGAGGAGAAATGAAAAGAATCAGTAAATCACAGAAAGATTTTGGATTCAAGTGGGGTGGGGCACGAGAAATTGACAATTTGAAAAGTGGGTGAAATGAGAATCGCTTCTTTAGGCTTGGTATTGACGTTGCCCGCAGACGTGCTCGATGTAGGTGTCCTTGGACCAGTGTACCGCGTCGGCGACCATCAGCTTCTTCATCAGACCAGCGTACTTGACCGAGATGGCGAGACGGCGCAGCACGACTTCGTTTTCTTGATCCCATCCACCGAGTGGACCCACGATGAAGGCGCCCAGGAACGTGTCGTAGCCGTCCGCGTTGAACTTGTTGAAGATGTCGGCGTACTTGCGCAGCTTCCCATCACGTGCAGCATCGAAGACGCTGAGATCGTAGTTCTCGAACGACATTGTCACATCCACGATCGTCACACGCTTCTTGACGTGGTTGACGAGGGCGAGATCGGGGCGTAGTTGACCATCGGTGCCGGGGATCTTGACGTTGACGTATTTGGTGGTAGTGTCGGGCAACTTGATGGCGTTGATGAGGCGGTCGACGATGGCATTGTGACGGAGGGTGATCGCATGGTTGTGGACTGGACAATGATTGAGCACATGGGCGACGCTCTCGATCGCGGCGCCACATCTACGACAGGACTTGTCATGGTGATCACGGGCACGGTTGCATCCATTCAGCGGCACCACGTCGAGTCTTGCACGGTAAACGAACCGCCAGTCCGCAAAGCGGAGGAAGCGTCCGTCACGCATGAAGTGGTTGGAGCAGGGCTGGCGAGCGGTGATGTTGTAGACCTTGCCCTGGCTCTTCTTGGCGGTGAGGTGAACGAGTTGAGCTTGATGGACAGCGCTCTTGAGCATCTTCTCACACGTCTTCTTGGTGACGCCACATCCGAGCACGCGTAGTTGTATCTTGTCGTTTGCCCACGTCCACTTCACGTCGAGCTTGTCCGTCTTGACCAGCCGTCCCGTTGCTTGTCGCACCCTTGTCCACCCGGCAAAATATTATAACTCAAAACCTTAAGTGAAGTGGTGGAAAAATAATAACAGCGAACTAGGCCTAAAATCGTGATATCTGCTCCTTTTTCCGAGATGTAAACTTTTTCCTCGGAGACCAGCTGGGTGTTCTATGCGGGGGCATCTAGGCCTTACTCGGTCGCAACGGCTTAAAAAATTACCCACGCGATTTGAATAAAACGGTCGAAGAAGGGAATACGGATTTTGGCGCCTCTAAACCCATATCGACATCTTTTTGGATCGACCTAGGAAAATTTAAAGAGGCCGAAGCCAGATTTCTAGTGTTGACCAGTCTGTAGTGCAAACTTTCCTCTACAAAATTGACGCATTGGAAACAACGGTTAGTCAGATCGGTGGGCGCAGTACTCTCGAAAACCAAAAAAACCAGAATTTACGTGATGCGCGTTCTTTGATCTCTAGCTCAGCACGTTTAAGGAGTTCGATGCTCATATTTTAACCGAAAATACTAGAACATATGACCTCCCACTCAGCAAAATATCGAGGCGAAACAATGCTTCTTTCCTTAAAATTTTCTGCCTCGAAAAGTTCTAGTTACTTTCCGACCAACCTAATAAAAAACACAATCTGGACACGCGCCACATGTGCGGCGCAAAATTAGCAAAAAGCAAAAGAAAAATGCGCGGACCGGGTCCGAACCCGGACCCTCCACCTGGAAAGCGAGGCGGTTTAGCTGGAATTTGTAGCCTGTAGCCTATATTTTGGTGCCTGTAGCTTATAGCCGACGTTTTGTAGTCTGTAGTTCATAACCTATTCTTCCAGGTGCACTCCTCAATGTGTTCCTCATTCTCATCGGATCTCCATTCCCTTGATGCTGGAGGAGAAACGGATTCCGGTAGGATTACGGTAGAATAGACTCTAATAAAAGTAAATTTTAGACATCGAATGGATCACCCCGGAAACGGCATTAATGGGAGTACCACCAATGAGGGTACGACCGTTGCCTCCATTGTTTGCTCCGCCCGGCTACAAAAGTACGTTTTTGGCACCAAAATAGTTTAATTTAATTTAAACAAACACTGTATTTAAAAAATATAGTTTTTATTTGAAGTCGATGTTAAAGACGGTTTTTATATAATTTTAATGAAATTCCAGTTTCTTTTCAAAGTTTTAACTTTTAAATTTAAAAATTAATATTGGTATTTTTAAATTGAATAATTATGATTATTAATTAATTAATTAAACCTCTAATTTCCGGCCCGATCCAAGCTTCATGTATTCTGATGTCTGCAAACCAGAAATCCTCCCGAAATCCAGCCGTATGAGTGGACGTCCTACAGCGATCGGGGGTACGGTAGAATACAGTCGCTTGTTTTAGGTTGTAGTTTGTAGTCTAGCATTTTGACTGTCTAACCCTCTTCCCCTCTAGGACCCTCCCGGCCAGCAAAACCTCAAAAACCAGTAAAACGAGAAGATGGAGAAGAAATCTGTTGGGGTGGATGAAAAAGGTAGGATTACTGTATTTAAAGTTTCAATTTTTTTATTTTTAGGCCATTCAACATTGAGTACAGGCGCGGAAAGTCTGGCTGAAGCAGCACCGGAGGCCAGATTAGAAGCTGCAGCACAAAGAAGTAGATCCAGATGATGCGAGAATTGAATGCTTATGGAGGGGTGGCCATATAAGATAGAGCTGCCGCTGATTATGCTCCGTTTCCGACTCAGGCATGGCTTTTGCATGAATTTTTGGTTAAACTAGTTACAGGCTACACTTACTGTATCCATTTTCTTCTAAAAAATATTGCCAAATGAAAAGTGGGAGCCCCAAACACAAAATTAACCTTTTCAAAGCTATGTTTCGCTCCATTTTCGTTTTTCCTCTTTTTTTGTATAGTTCTTAAACGGGGGCATTCGAGTTAGGAGAGAGAATTAAGGGAGAAAAAGGGAGCTGTTTCAGCATGAAATTAATTTTCTAATAATTTTAATTGCAGTTCAAAATAATGTAAGATAAAATGGTTACAGTAAAAAATCAGCATTCGGAAAGCTATAAATTTTAATAGCTTTTTTCGCAATTTAATTTTTTTGAGGGCTAAAGTAAAGTGTAGCCGACACAGACTACAAACTACAACAATAAAGAAGAGCTGTTTTTAGATGGGCTCCTCAAAATCGATCGAACGCCTTCAGAAAAGATCCTTTGAATCGAGCGATGAGCAGCGCTGCTCATACAGAATATGATAATGCTGAGAGTGAGAGGGTGAAGTCACAGGTTTTAATAAAAAAAACGGAAAAACCAAAAACAGCAATATTCATTATTTTGTAGGGATTAAGTGATGGTGATTCTCATTTTTCTTCTCGACAATCCCATCGAGCACCAACTAAGCAGAAACGGAAACGATGGTTTTCCAGGTCGAAAAAGTGGGTTAATACAGATAGGCTACATTTATATCTTCTAAATACTCTATATATCAAAATAGGCACTAGACTCTTAGCTCAGAGGCAAATTTTTTACCAGAAGTCAATAATTTTTATCGTCTAATTAACGTTTAAAAACCATCTTGATTTTTATAGTGTGTTGAATAGTTTTCGCCGCTGAAAACCACAAAAATAATTTTTAAAAATTTTGGACATTCAAAAATCGAAAAATTGATAATTTTTTGCAATTTTCCTATCTAAAAACATTGTAAAAAAGCTAGAAAAATGGTACCCTTAATCTTAAAGTTGTACGAAATGACCCTTGAAAAATTTTAACCTCCCCGTTAATAGCCCAGTACCTAAAAACATAATTGCTATTAGGGAACGCGATGGATGTGATGCAGATATGGAATCGCAATGTTCTTCCATGGCTTCAAGCGTGGAAATTAGATCCGTTGAGATGGAAAAGTGTCCATTCGGTCGGGTTTGTAACCCCTATAGTCTGTAGTCT